CCAAGGCCTATCACATTGCTGTAAATGTCAGTGGAAAAACAGCCATTCAGTGGGTTTCCTTCATTCCATCAGAAAAGGGAAAACAGGAAGCTAACAGCAGCTGCGCCCCAGCCTGGCAGATCCTGGGGCTCAGCTGACAGGGTGTTTCTTGTTAGCACCTATGGCCCCTTTTCCCAGCCCACTTGAGAATGGAGAGGGGCCTTGTGTCTGGCATAAGCAAAGGCAGCAGCAAAACAGCCATGAGTTGGTTAATCTGGGCCCCCATGCACCTGCGCAAGGGGAAATAGCGTGCGAACGCTGAAGGCCTTTGGTCTGAATTACCGAGTTCATTACACAGGTCCATCTAAATCTCTCCTGCCCATTCAAAACGTCCTGTGAGCCAAAACCCTGGGACTCCAGGATGCATGAGGCCTTCCAACTCCTCATTCATCCCTTTAATGCATATGGATCATCTCCCAGGCTCTGAACATCACACTGGGCACCTGGGGACACAGCTGAATGAATCAGTTACAGTCACCAACCTCGAAGGACATAAGGTCTAGCGTAAGCTGATCTCAGCCTTGACACTATTAACATTTGGGAGCCATGCTATGCACTTTAGAATATTCTATAGTCTCCCTGGTCTTTATGCTTCTCTCCTAGCTGGTTCTAACAAACAATGACGCCTCTAGACACTGGCCAAAACCCTCTGCAAATGAAGTCTACAGGTCTATCATCGTGGAAAAGGAACAGTTAAGCATCTGGATGTCTTCTGTCTATAGGCAGAATCTACAGTCACATGATATTCTGGGCAGTCATTCTAAAAGACTCATTCCTCCCTGGGGCCACCTTGGGGCTTGGTCACCACCTGCCCCATCAATCAAGTTACACTCTGCCTTCATCAAGGCACATCTGTGGGGCTCCAGTGGAATGCCCTCTGGATTCTGAGACATCCAGGAACACATGCCCCCACAGTCACCTGCACTCAGGAATTTCCCAAAAGTCAGGGCAGGTTCTAAGAGCATGCCTTATGGTGACCCATCATAAGGGGCATCAAGGGGGCACTCAAAGTCAGAGAAACTAGACTCTATGCAACCAGCTCAGATATTTACAATGAGCATGTAAGAGAGCACATGAAACTCCTCCTCCTCCTCTTCTTCTTCTTTTCTTCTTCTTCTGGGTCTCACTATGCAGCCCAGGCTGTTCTTGCATTTGCTATCTTCCTGTCTCAACCTCCTGAGTGCTGACATTTCATATGTAACCCACCATGTCCAGCTAGCTCATAGCCTCTTTGAAGACTGGCATGACAGGCAGAGGAACGTAAGCTCTGTGCTTGCTGCAAAGGACCAAGAAGGAACAGAGAGAATGCTTCAGCACAAAAGCCCAGCCCAGCTCTTCTTCCCATGCAGAAATTAATCCTGAACTTTCTTGGGCACTAGTCAGTCAATCCTTTGCAGAAAGCCTCCGCCTGACAAGGCTGTGGAGTGCTGCTTCGGGTCAGCGAGCGTCTAACCATGCACAGCCCCTGGCAGGATGACCTCTGACTCTTTCCCTGGCCTTCCTACCAAGACCTGCATCACACTCTGTTGACTGGGCTTCATCAGCAACCCCCACCCACAGTTCGCCAAAGCTATCCAGAGCTTTCCAGCCTGTACACTCTAACACTTACAGTTCTCCGTGCATGGGTACCCACCCCTCCATTACCCACCACCTGGAAAATTGCCACCGAAGAGATCAAATGTGCTCCCACAGCAAATCTAGCCCACCTGTTATTGGTAATAATAGACTAATAATAATAGTAACTAACATCTGTGAACATTATTCATACAGGGATAGCCCCGAGCTAAGTCTTTACCCACACTATCTCTTTTCTGCTCACTTTACACCTGCAGCAGGCAGCTTGAGCGATAAGGAGTCTAGGGGCACCCCTTGACAGGCACAGGGTGGTGGCTCAAACCTGTCCTCGGTCCCTACTCCTTATTATGGAAGCTCTGACCCCACCAGGCCCTCTGTCTGCAACCCTGCCTCTCCCCGGAGATGAGAACCCCCCCCCCAGGGCTGCCTTGGTTATGGAGACCCTTGGCTAAGCACTCGGAATGCACAAGGGAACCTGGGGAACGGGGTCATGCAGAAGCCAAATTCTCAGGACATTGCCCACATCCCAGGAGACAAGCTGAGGCTAAAGGTGCTAATTACCCACAGCAGGAGAAGGGGCAAGATCTATGAGGACCCAAGGAAAGGAAGAAACAGGGGTGCTAGTGATAAGAGTCGCCTCTTGCCTGCCTACCTGCACTCCACCGAGAACTTGTATGTTCCATTATCTCATAGGGTCCTTAGAGCTCCCATGAAGACAGCAATTGTGAGAGTCTTATTACTGGGGGGGGGGGTGCTGAAGAGAGAGGGTCACACACAGTCCCAAGGCTTTTAAGCTTTGAGATGTTCAACTAGACTAATATGGCTTCCTCCATTTCTGATACTTTCACACTGATAGCTTTCTGTGATAGGATTGTGCATGCTTCTCCCTCCCCCAAGGCTGATCTCTAAGATGTGCTGAGACAAGGGCTGTCCTGGCCTGGGATGGGAGGGGGGGTGTCAGTTGGGACCCACTGTCTACAATTGCTACAAGCCTGCTGGGGGCTGGGAGCACAGGGGCTAGATTGGGAGAAGAGGTTAGGTCAACAACAGAGAGTATCTTGAATCCAAATCCAGCGCTTGAATCCCCAGGTTGCCTTTGCAATCTGCCGGCCCCTGTTCACTCAGTTGCTGCCGGTCAGAGGGAGTTCGCTGAGGCTTTAGAGTTGGGTTTTCACAAAGCAGGATGGTGGTCAGCTCAAAGGAGCCCCACAGGGAACCAGTCCATCTCAGCTTTCCCCTCCCTGGCCCTGGTACTCAGGCACATGAAGACACTGAACAGCAAAATTAGAATTTGACCTCTGTTCCTCTGGCTCCCTGAACACGGAGTGCAAAGTCTGTGCGGGCACCAAACACTGGCCTTGCTTACCTGGTACTTCTAGAACAGGAAACATCCCGTCAAAGGGGGATTTCCCATAGAGCCTCTGACACCTGAGCCACAAATGAGGGTCAGCTAGAAACCAACAAATTTTCTTAAAGAAAGCCATTCCAAAGGCTGAGAAGAGCGGGGTGAGGTTGGGGGCGGCACTGTTAGGTAGATTCCAGTTGACAGTCTAGTTGGCATCCTGCCCACAGCATCCTAGGGACTGGGGCAGAGAAGATGGGATTGGGGTGACAGGTGGGAGAAGAAGGTGGTGGGAATGTGTGTGGGAAAGGCCTTGCAAGCAGACAGCTCGCTAGAAGGAGTCAGCGGTCCCCACCGCCTCCTGCAAGCTGGCTCTTTGTGACATAACTGAGGGAGGAAAAGTAGAAACCCCACCCCCACCCCAGCAGAGCCACCCACCAGGGCTCCACTTGCACACCTGGCTAGGGGACACGCCCCGCTCAAACCCTTACTGAAGACGTGTTTGCCTAGCAGGGCCATCCAAGATGCTCCACTACATCAAGAGCTCCATTCAAGAGTCCTCTCGGTTACCCTATCGAGGCCATTCGCCCCACTTCTCACAGATCCGGGCTGATGGGGAACCTAGTGCAGGGCCCGCGGGCAGATAGCTAGTCTTTGGCTGAGCTGGGCTGAGCCTGGAAGAGGAGCTCACTCCCCACGGAGATTGTTTCGCAGGATAGGCACACATGGAAGTCACACACAAACACACCACCACCACCCTCAAGGACCCGGGGCTACCGCCAGCCCCTTCCCCAGAGCGCCTGGAGGGAAACCGCGCCTGGCACTGTCGAGCTCCGGGTCCTCCACAGAGGGCGATTCACAGGCCGCACCTGGTGCTCCCGGCCTCCGGGGAGCTGGTGGGCGCTTCAGACAGCAAGAACAGGAGCCCTTTATGAACAGTGTAATCACATGGGCTTGCAAGCACCGGCTTTCGGTTCTGGGGAAGCGCTGTGCAACCGCATCTCTGTCCCTCCGCTCTCCGGGTTCTAGGGAGCATTAGCTCCCAGGCCTGGCCCGTGGTGGCGGCGCCCCGCAGGCTTGCAGGGAGAACCAGAGTCATAGCTCACCTAGACCCGATTATCCGCCCGGGACTGGGAGCTGTATCAGCAGCATCTTCCGTAAAGCAGGAGGCAGGGCTGGGAGAGGAGCGCAGAAGAAGAGAGTCCGCATCCGCCACGGAGGCGGGTAGAAGCACCTCCCGCCTCTCACTCCCACCCGGGCAATCTTGGCTCCCCGCGTGACCTTGCGGGAGACCCCTCAGTCGACCTCTGGGGTAGGGCTGCGTCCTGGGCGCTCGGGGGCGCTGCTCCCTGTAGGAGCGGATGTGCGGGACTCGAGAGGAGTGGAGCGCTCCGGGAGCGGGCGACCCGCAGCTCGCACCCACGCCGGCCGGCCAGCAGAGAGGCCCGGAGCATCCCCTCTGGGAAGCACCATGCCGGGGGCTACCGGAACTGACCGACACGCTCCAGGGGTGGGGATCCCGCATTGGGTTAGGTTTGCCCGCGGGGACGCCTGCCCCCGGGACTTTTCCCACCCCCGGAACAGCACTCCCTGCGCGCTGCCGCTGCCTGCCCAGACCAAGCACAGCCACGCGAGGGGGCGGCACCCCCCTGCCGGGCTCGTAGACCACGCGTCCCGGGCGTCTGGTGTTCTATGGCTCGGCCACCCAGCCTTGTAACCCCTGGTAGACCGTAGCGCAGACAGACCGCGAAGCTCCCATCGCCCCCAAGATCCGGCCATCGAAGCCCCAGCCAACAATCTGCCAATGCACCCCATACACCATCATCTTTATCCGAGAACGAGACATAGGAGAATATCCCCACTGTGGCCCACCTCCTGCACCCTCGGTATCCTCCTTTCCAGTACATCCCACCACCCCAATTATCTTAAGCCACCCGCCTTTGGCCAAGGTACCCCTCTCCGCCAGCCAGCCTGGCCGGGGCCGAGACCACCTGCCCTCCCGATTCGCAAAGCGCAGAGAGGAACAGGGCGCCTTTCAACTCACCCGCTCTCTCGAGCCCTGCCCCGGGCGGCTCCCGGCCCCGGCTTGGTCTGCAGGTCCCAGAACCGCAGCTGGTGGTGCGGCGACAGAGCCAGCTCTGCTGGGTAGCAAGCCACCGCGCCGCCTCTTGGCTCCTCCCCTAAGGCGGGGCCTAAGCTCCGGGGAAAGGGTTGGGCCGGCGCAACCCCAAGGGGCTTACCACCGCCCGCGCGCGCGCGCGCGCGCGCAACCAGATCTAGACCTTGGAGCCCTCGGGATGGGCACCTCTTTTCTGAGCTGCAGGAAATTGGAAGCCGCTGAGATCCAGCCAGGTTTCGAAATAGTTCTCCTGGACTCTGCCCCACCCCTAGCCTTCAGTAATGACAGGGAGAAGCCAGAGCGGTATTTTTGTTCCCATTTGATTCATAGACATAGTGAGGCCCAGAGAGGGATAGTAACCTACTTAGGGGTCGCACAGGATGGGGCCAGTGCCTGAAAGTCAACTTCCCACCTAAAGGCCTGGTCAGCCTGAGTCTGAATGTTCCCCAAACACCTGAAGCCAGGTCAGGTCTTGTCTAGGGGGCAAGGCTGTACAGATAGTCTTCCAGCGAGGATGGGAAGAAAAGGGGGAGGGAAGGAACAGGCAGTGGCTTGTGACGCAGACTCACATTGCTTCTTCCATCTGGAAAGAGGGGAGGTGAAGCGAAGGAGAAGGAAGTGGCCAGGCTAGACTGATATCTGCCACCCTCTTGGATGCAGAGGATCTAGACCAACCGGCTTCCTGGGTTTCTTTCTATCAAGGAACAACCTAGGCAGCTGCTGGACAAAAGACCCTGCAGTGTGTGCCTTCCCTTGAGAGCAACCGGTTTAACTGTGTTTAAGTTGATTTTGAAAACTGCTCCTCCCCCCAGGGAGAGGAGAGAGTGGACAAAGAGAAAACCCCATCCCAAACATTCTCTGGAATCCACATTCCTTGAACACTGACTTTAGAACAATGGGGTTCTCTTCTTCACAAAAGGCTTTGTTTCCTGCACTTTCCCAGCCTCCAGATTAGAGCCAGAAGCAGGCACTCCAGGGCTAAACTGCTAGGGAAGCAGACAAGAGTCATAGTTTTGGATCCCAGCGATCTTGGGTAATCCTGTTTGAAGCACTAGGGCTAGAACTCATGGCCCCAGCAATATTGCCTAAGTGTACTGATTAGAATCATTGTATCTTCTTTTAAGACAGGGTCTCACTATGCAGCCCTAACTGACCTGCATTTCGCTCTTCATGTAGACCAGGCTAGCCTTCAACTCACAGAGACCCACCTTCCTCTTCCTCCAGAGAGCTGGAATTAAAGGCATGTGCCACCACACCCAGCCCTTGATTTCCTATTTGCTGAATAAACTCAGTCACTTTTCTTGAAGGATGTAGCTCAGTGGGTAGAGTGCTTGCCTAGCAAGCCCCCAAACTCTAGGTTCAGTCCCCAGCACCAGGTCTGCCAGGTGTGGCAGTAAACACATGTAATTCCAGCAATTGGGCAATACATATGAATTTGAGGCCAGCCTGTGATGCATGACACCTCCTCTCAAAATCAACAACAACAAAACCTACCACAGGTTGTGTTGTTTCAAGCCTTCCCAAGTCTGAAGTCCCCTTTCATTTGCCTGAGGCTCCCCCTCTGTTCATTAATAATCCAGTTGTGAATGACACTGTTTCTGGTGCAATTAGTGACGGCAGAGCAGGTGGGGGAGACTTAGAGTGATGTTTAAAATAACCGATGGGGATCATTGTTCTCTGCAAAATGTTTCCACTGAGTTATAATGAAGAGCTGTGGGCTGAGTGGGCAAGGAAACCACTCCTTGCATTGAACTTAGAGCCTGGGTCCTGGAAATGAAGTCTTTACCAGGCCTAGGGGGACCAAATCTTGGTGTTGTGCAGTTCATTCACACCTCTCACAGTACCAGACACCAAAGGGAAAGTAAACTACACTCAGAGGACTCTTGCTTCCTCATTTCAAACTTAGTAGCAAGCTACAGCAACAGAACAAAATGACAAAGCTTCAAGAACAAACATACAGATGAAGAGAACAAAACTGAGACTCCAGATGTAAGTTCCTGCGTCTGCAGCCAGCCAGCCCCTTTTCAGCAAGCGTGTCGTGGAGGAGGAACAGTCTTTAGTAAATGGTGCTTAGAAAACTGGAGAAGCCACACGCCAAAGAATAAGGCTCACCCCTACCTCACACCACAGACAGAACCCAAAATGGATTAGAATCAAATGCAAAAGCCAAGACTAACTTGCTTCTGACTAAAGATTTTGAGACACAAAGTTTTACTCTATAGCTCAGGCTGTCCTGGAATACACTCCCTGGCCAAGGCTGGTCTTGAACTCTTGATCCTCATGCTCTTTAAATGCTAGGGTACAGGCATGCACCACTACCCCTGGCTCCCAAACCCACCAACTTTCAGACTACAGCCAACAGAACCAAGAAAAATAAAGCTCTGTTGTTGAAACAATCAGTCCGTGATAATTTGTTAAAACAATTTTTTTAAATATTTATTTATTTATTATATACACAGTGTCCTGCCTGCATGTATGCCTGCACTTCCAGAAGAGGGCACCAGAGCACATTTTAGATGGTGAGCCACATGTGGTTGCTGGGAATTGAACCCAAGACCTCTGGAAGAGCAGTCAGTGTGCGCCCAACCTCTGAATTAACTCTCCAGCCCCCTTGTTACTGCAATCTAAAGTGAACTAGTAATGACCTACAGAATGAGAGGGAATATTTGTATCTATATCTGATAAGGGAGTTATATCTATGATATATAAGGAACCCTTAGAGCTCAATAATAAAAGGAGAGCAGTTAACAAAGAGGGCAAGGAGGCCCCGGCACCGTGTGGTGCCACATGCTTATCATCTCAGCATCTGAGAGATGGAACCAGGAGGATCATGAGTGTAAGGTCATCTTCCACAGAATAGTGAACTTTAAAGCCAGCCTGGGGTACATGAGAGCCTCCCTCAAAAAAAAAAAAAAAAAAAAAAAAGTTAGACATGTCAGTAGATGGTCCAGGGAGTCCATTCATGTGCAGACTGGAGAGACGTGAAACAAGGGTCCTCACTAATTGCGACAAATATATTCACATTATCTTTATTCATGACAGCCAACAAGCAGGAAAAAATACAAAAGCCCGTCAAATGGCTGCTAGATAATAAAAGATGATCTACCTATACAATGCAACATTATTTTAGACTCAAAACAGATAAACTGGGAGCTGGAGAGATGGCTCAGCAGTTGGGAACAGTTGGTGTGCAATTACAAGGACTGGAGTTCAGATTCTAGCATTCAAGGAACAAACTAAGTGACCTGCAAATACCTGTGATTCCAGCCATGAAGCTCTGACATCCTCTTCACACACACACACACACACACACACACACACACACACACACACACACAAATATATAAAATAATTTTAAAGGGAGGAGAAATTCTGGAGCAGATGATCTCAGCCTGTGAGTCGTGACCCCTTTGAGGGTTACAGGTCAGATATTTATATTACAATTCATATTCATAACAGTAGCAAAATTACAGTAATGAAGCAGCAATGAAATAATTTTATGGTTGGGGATCACCTCAACATGAGGAACTGTGTTAAAGGTCTCAGCGTTAGGAAGGTTGGGAACCACTGGGCTAGAGAGATGGCTCAGCAGTAAAGAGCATTCAGTGTTCTTCCAGAAGAACCAAGTTCGGTGCCAACCACATACACTGAATGGCTCACAACCACCTGTATCTCAAGCTCCAAGAAATCCAATGCTCTCTTCTGGACTCCAAGGACAGACAGACAGATACACACACACACACACACACACACACACACACACACTTACACACACACAGAGAGAGAGATAGAGAGAGAGAGAGAGAGAGCAGTTCCCAGCACTCGAAGGGTACACAAGAGGATTATATAAATAAAAAAAATTAAATCTTTTTTTAAAGGATGGAAGCTAAAGTGCTGGACATGCCACTACATAAATGAGTTTTCTTAATTACCTCTTAATTTTTGGTATTATAATATAATTATATCATTTCTCCACTCCCTTCCCTCCCTCTTAACTCTCCAGTGTACTCCTTCTTGATCTTTTACAGATTCATGGCCTTTGTTTCATTAATTATTCTCACATGCATACACGTATATACTTATACTCCTATAGAGAGAGTCCTAACAAAGCTCCAACCTGCTGAGTCTGTATAATGTTCCTTGCATGTCTGTTTTCAGGGATGGCTCTTTGGTATTGCATAACCAAATTGGTGTGTTTTTCCCTGGGGAAGACTATTTCTCCCACCTTCAGCATTTCTTAATTGCCTGATGTTCTTCATGTAGAGTTGAGGCCTCATTCATATTGGCATGTCTGTTGTTGTCTTTGTTCGGCTCAAGCTTAAGCAGCCACATAGGTGAGTTTTTGAAAGCACAGTTCTATGAAAAAAGCAAATTGCAAGGTCACGTGCCACATAATTCTGTTTAAGATGCCCAGAATAGAGAAACCCTGACTGGAGACATAGCTCAGTTGGTAGAGTGCTTGCCTGGCATACAGAAGGCCCTAGCCACATAAGCCAGGCATGATGTAATAGAAATGACCAATCAGTGACGGCAGGAAGATCAGAGGTTCAAGTTCATCCTCACAATGAGCTTGATGCCAGCCAGGGATACATGACCTTGACTCAAAAAGAAAAGAAAACAAAAACAAAAACAAAACAACAACAACAAAAAAAAAAAACAAAGACAAAATAAAGACAGAGACAAGAAAATGGACTAATAATGCCTGTCAAACCTGGGAGTGTGGGAGGGTGTGATGAAGGCAGTTGAGGGGATGATTGGCTAAGGGAATTGCTCTTAGGGGTGATAAAATGTTCCTCAATGCCAGGCATGATGGTGCATGACTTTAATCCCAGCACTTAAGAGGCAGAAGCAGACAGATCTCTTGAGTTCAAGGCCAGCCTGCTCTACAGAGTGAGTTTCAGGACAGCCAGGGCACTGAGAAACCCTCTCTTGAAGAAAAAAAGAACAAAATGTTCTTCAGTGGATTCTGTGATGGTCACACAGCAGGGACTTAACTGAAAAGTCACCCATCCTTCAAATAGGTGAATTACATGGCAGGTGAATTATAACTCAATAAAGCTTTTTTCCTGAAAGCAGCTCTTGA